CCGGTAGGTACTACCGTTGATACACAATACAACAATCTAAGTGATTGTATTAATAAAGAGTTCAACACCATCTTTACCCCAAAGAAAGTCTCTCATTCGCAGTGTAAATCTTTAGTGATTGGGCGAAGCGGGAATTTATAAAAGTAGATAACGTTGTATGACCTTTACGCTGAAAAGTCATACAATATAATGAAGAATTTATTCTTTATGTTCGAAATTATTCGAAATTATTTAAGAAAGTTTGTTACGGGCCAAGTCCTTAAATATCAAAAACAAGATTAAAAATAGTACCAATAAAACTAAAATGACTTGGAAGATAATTGATAGTGAAACTGAAGAGTCAGGGATCGCAATCAAGACATCGAACTATGTGTCGATAACACTATAATCAAATCTAAGAAGAGATAGCGATTGTTTTTGATAAGTACTTTTCTGACATCCAATTTCGACTACTAAGTCTCTTCAATCATCTCCCGCCCTCGCCGAATCGCTGCTCAAAGATAATGTAAACGAGTGAAGGTCAGTTTTTCATTCCGACCCATTGGTGCCGACGATATAGTGAGGATATTTAGAACCATAGATATTAAGAACACTACCGATCTTTGGGGTATTTCTGTAAAAATAATTAGTAGCATAATTGATGTAATTGTCCCATTAGTATAATTTTCAACAATTGTATTAAAAGTGGGAGTTTCCCGATCTAATGAAACATAGTAAAGTTATTCCTTTATTTAAAGCAGGTAGTATGTCCGACCCCAGTAACTTTAGACCAATTTCCGTACTACCTACTTGTAGTAAAATATTTGAAAAAATTATATTAAATCAACTGGTAAGTCATTTTAACGTAAACAAATTATTACATAATAATCAGTTCGGTTTTACCAAGGGTCGCTCGACAGCCGATGCCGGTGTTGAGTTATATAGATATAAGTTAAGGCTTGGGAGGAGTGATGACGTTTAGGTGTTTTCTGCGACTTATCCAAAGCATTTGATTGTGTCCAACACGAGACCTTAATCGGGAAACTCCGCCACTATGGCATCAAGAATACTGCACTGAATCTTCTGACTTCCTATTTACACGGAAGAACTCAGAAGGTTGAAGTGAATGGTAAGAGGTCCTCTGGGTCGGCAGTAGATATGGGGTACCAAGGGCTCAATTCTTGGCCCTTTCCTCTTCTGTTATATAAAGATACCTTCATGGTAGAGAGAAAACATCAGATAGTTTGTTGCTGATGACACGTCCTTGATTTTTAAAATCAAACGACAAATAACAAATTTTGACGATGTGAACAATGCTCTGTTTCGATGTCCATTGGTTTAGTATGAATAACCTTCTACTTAATGCAAAAAGACAAAATGCATTAAATTTTGTGCAAAAATGCAAGGGTTATGGATACTAGACCAATTATAAACGGTGAGGAATTGAATCTGGATGATAAACTTATTTCTCGGAATCACCATGGATTCAAAACTTAGTGGTCCCCTCATATTAACGGATTGGCGAAGAGACTTAGTTCTGCAGCCTACGCGGTTAAAAAAATTCGTCACTAACTGATGTCGATACAGCTAGACTTGTTTATTTTAGTTACTTTCATAGTTAAGACTTATGGCTTATATTAGGGTCATGTGGATGTCGAAACTATTTCATCCTGCAGAAGAGGGCTATTGTGCAATCTATAATTTAAAATGTAGGGAATCTTTAGAGATAAATTCAAGGAAATTAATATACTTACCTTTCCCTCGCAATATATTTATGAAAATATTATGTATGTATACAAAAATAGTGATAAGTTTACTAGAATAGAACATACGCACAATGTTAATACACGGAACAAACGCAGGCTGCAATTTCCCCGTACTAGACTATCTAAAGTTAGTAATTCTTTTTTTGGGGAAAGGGATACTCTTCTTTAATAAAATCCCAGAGGCTCTTTTATCACTGCCTTTCAATAAATTTAAGAAATGTATTAAAGAAAAGCTGTGTAAAAAGGCTTACTATAAAGTCAACGATTATCTAGTTGATAAAAGGGCCTGGGACTAGTGTAGACAGGCTACTTCTAATCAATTTGCGATATTTGTTTTAAATAAGTGTTGTTTGATGATTTGTTTAAAAGAGTACGAGAGTTTTTTACGCCGGTTTTTCTCTCGGCCTACACCCTCTGTCTTTTTGCCGATGAGTAGGGATGCCTTCAAATTTAATGACGTGGAATAAGTATAATGTATTTATGTTCCATAATAAACATATTTTATTTTTTTATTTTTTTATTGTTTTAGATAAAAAAACCTAGGGTAAAGGGTTATTTGAAATCGTTCAAAAACATCTACTTATCATAGTTTGATGGACTATACAACCACATTTTATATAACGATATTTGCACCTAAAAAATTGACATTGTTTCATTAGCAAAACATTTTGAATTGATTACATCACCCATACCGTGATGTTTGTACGGGTCAAATTTAGTATTAGATTTCAATTTATGATGATGTTTTCATTCATACGCGGGCTTCGTGATGTAATTTATTACAGGAAATGTTACAATGCACACAGTGGTATTATTGTAATGACAAATGACTCCAAATAATCCGCATAGTAACAATGTTAAAATACAAATCGGAAACTATAAAAGTTAATAAAAAGTACTTAAATATGTATGTAGTATGTAACTTATGACTCCTGTACATATGTCAAAATCAAAATGATTAAATAGAGAATTGCGGGAGTTATGTAACCGTTAGTTAAGTTACATACTCATATGTAATAAAAAGCGCAAAGAAAGTGCATACAATCATCATACACTTGTAGCCAATAAATTGTAAAACTTTAGTTTTGTCTATACTAATATTATAAAGAGGAAAGATTTGATTTTTTGTTTGTTTGAAATGAATAGGCTCCGAAACTACAGGACCGATTTCAAAAATTCTTTACCGTTGGCAAGCTACACTATTCCCGAGTGAAATAGGCTATGTTTCATTTTCAAAAAAATTAGGGATGCTTACTAAAACTTGAATAATAAACAAATTTAATAATGTAAAAAAATAAACAAAAAACTTCCTTCAATCGCGTGCGCTGCGAAAACTATTAATGATAGAACAAAATAATGTATTTCAATTTTTCAGGACACATCACTATCTATAAAAAATGTCGCGACAGCATGTCTCTATCTTTTATAGTTACGTCACAATAAGCGTCTTTTTATTAATTTCTTTTTTATTAAAATACCACCGCTAGAAAAGGCTCTTTATTCGTACCTAGGTATTGATCCTTATCAAAATAAATACCAACGTTTCACATAAGCTACAATTTAATGGCATAACCACCAAAAAAGCATGGTGTATTGGTGTTCTCCTGCCGTTTCTCTTGAATAGTTTACTACTATGTAATATAACAAAAATCTTAGCCACAGCAACGCTTGGCCGAGTCTACTAGTTAGTAATAAATGAGCTCTTTAGTTTTTCATACATTCATAAATTTTACAACATTCCCGAGAATGTACAATAGGTCGACATCATTTATATTCTTTATATGTAACAGATGTGTCACTTTTAAGAACCCATAAATAAGTTAAGTTACAGTTTTAACCACTACCTCTAATTTTATATTAGTTATAAGCTCTTGTTTTAAACGATTAAAGACAGTTGAAACTTAGTTTCAACCAAAGAGTTTCATTTGTTTTGTCCCTCCAACAACCGCCACCGAGCTTAAGTCGAAAAAATTTACAATACAATAACCAACATTACAAATATTAATAAGGTCCTCTGTTCGTACTGGTTAAAAAAAGTACGGTACGGTTGTTATGGTATGCCTTTTGGTGTACCCAACAAACAAAGTAACTGTAAGATAAAACTAAGTCAAAACGTCTCCGTCTTGCTGTAATCTTAGCCCAATATAAAATAATTTAATAGCTTGCCACAGGAAAATTTACCCTTGGCATTTAGTTCAGGGATTTTCTTAAACTATAACATACTAGTTATACTCTGTATATCGGAATGTGTTGTATTTTTGTAAAGTAAAGAATAATTAAAGTGTCTACAGATTGATAGATGATCCACTTACAATCTATTTACGCCAATGATTTTTCTTTTACAAGAATAAATATTTACAAACAAGTCTTTAACGCTAGCATAAACAGTTAAAGAAGTGTTATTTATTCATATTAAGCAAACCTCTATTCAGAGAGACTTTCAACTTCCAGTAATTAGAGACCACAGTGGCGTAACAATAGGGTGGCAGGGCTGGCAAAATGCCACGGGCCAAGAGGGCCCCTGCCCAAGAAATATTATGTTCTGGGGATGAATGTGAAGTGTCCAATACGCATTGGGCTAGCGTGGGGACTATAAACCATGTAATTGAGTACGTTGAAGATCTCGTGACGATTTTTACTGATAGGGCCCAATCAAAAGAATTTGCCATGGGCCCCAGATGGTATAGTTACGCCACTGAGAGAACAATAGATGCACGTAGTTATTAGAAAAGCTAGAGGTGCTACAACCCTCGGTCTTGGACCGTAATTTCTGTATCTATTTTGATATTTGTCTTTATTAGTATCGTGCTTGGCACACGCGATTTTTGGATCTAATGATATGCTGGTTTCGCATGAAGTTTCCGTTTACATTTTGAAGCAGAACTTTAAGGCCACATAGACAAAGCAAGTTATTTGTAACTTAGCTTATTATATTTTTGACTGTAATTATATTTATTTCGTTTTCTTTATGTAAAGCATATGTAGTTAACGAAATAGTCTACCTAGAACAGAGTTAGGGTTCTTGCCCGTTCTTTTCAGAACAAGGCCTCCTGGTAGTTTTGCGAACGGATGGCGTAGTCTTGCTCTTTTGCGAATTTTGTAAACGTTTTTGACATTCATAAGCATGCCCTAACGCATATAAACTGAAAAAATTGTACTAATCGTAAAAGTTGTTTTTAAGAACATTATGTTAATTAATAAAACTTAAATAATTTGTATCTTTCAGAAAGAAAAGTAACCGAATAGACCGCCAATATGGGGGCGATGTTCCGGAGCGAGGAGATGGCCTTGTGCCAACTCTTCATACAGCCTGAGGCTGCCTATACTTCCGTCTCCGAGCTCGGAGAGGCCGGCACCGTGCAGTTCAGAGACGTGAGTTACAGCTTATAATATTTATGCATACATTCTATTTGATATGAAACTACTGAACAACACTAAATTTACTGAAACTTTGATGTTGGACGATATAATCGTGGCCATACATTGTGAAATTTCTTATAAGAACCTCCTATCTCTGATTACTGGGGCAAAATGGGGCTCAAAAGCCATATTTATACGTATGTTCTCTTTGGACTCAATATTATTTCATATTATCATTAAACCTTTCTAATAACGTGTGACTCAAATTCCTTTATTCATTTAGGTAACACGATGTACACTTATGAACGTCAATATAGAAATACATATTAAGTGCTTCAAATTTTACATTTACTCTCAAATCAAGGGCGTAGAACGTACGAGAAGAACTGGCAATAAACTCTCCACTTAATAAGCTATTAGTTGTTCTAGAACTTAGTAATTCCATATAATCCTTCGCGATAATTTATATCGCACTTGGAAACTCTTGAATAGCCTAGAAATCTTTACTTATGTAAATAACGATAACATGTGACCCCGTTTGTGCTATTGTTGTAAGTTATGCCTTTTTCAGAGTGGATTTGCCTTATTGAGTATTTTCTTGACTTATCTATAGATAGTAGAACAATTATCTATAGATTTTTTTGTATGTGAAGGTAAACATCCTGAGTAGGTTATTAAGTGGAATTCTACCTTTTAAACCTATTTCATTGCCTTTAAAAATCTGTTTTTAACAGATAACAGTTGTCAAAGGCTACATACTTATATATATTAATTGTGACTCAATTAACCTTTGGATTAACTTTTACATTTTTGTTTATACATATTATTTTTTCTTTAGATTTTACTTTATTTTATTTTAGTTATAGTTACATGTTATTTTGAGTTTTTTTGTTAATGATTTATGCACTTCTCGTTTCTCTTTTTATTGTTCCATGTTAGGGTTGCCTGGAAGAAATCGCTTGTTAGCGATAAGGCCGCCCGTTGCCTAACAACTTAAGTAACCTGTTTATTTTTATATGTATGTTTTTGTATAAGATAACGAAGTGTAATTAAATAAATAAATATACTTAAAAAAACGTTTATAATGCTTTGTATTGTCTTTGAATCGTATTCCGTAAAGAAACCGACTATAGTAATGTTGTGGCCTGTAGACAATTATCACGTCTTTTAACATTTCTTTCGTCTAAATATATAGGAGTTAAGTAGATAGTTGACATTGTTTATTAGTTTGCGTTTCACCTTCAATAAGAACTGGTTTAAAGAAAGGTTATCAAGCATTGCTAATTCGAACATTCGAGGCCAAACTCACAGACACGCACGGTCCCTGAGGTCATTTAAAAAATCTATAAATTTACTTTTAAAACTTTAAGGGCTTAAAATGCAATAAATTGCTATTTTAAGATTATGAATTCTATTTATAAAAGTCATGGTTCAGTTATCATGTTATAGACTAGTGGGTTTGAACTATCGTAAATAATGCTCTTTAATAAAATCCCAGAGGCTCTTTTATCTCTGCCTTTAAAAAAAATTAAGAAATGTATTAAAGAAAAGCTATGTAAAAAGGCTAACTATAAAGTTAACGATTATCTAGTTGATAAAAGGGCCTGGGACTAGTTCTAATTAATTTGCTATATTTCTTTTAAAATAAGTGTTGTTAGCCATAGTCATTTTGTATGATGATTTGATATTTTAAAAGAGTACCGAGAGTTTTTTTTACGCCGGCTTTTTCTCTCGGCCCTCTGTCTTCTTTGCCGATGAGTAGGGATGTCTACCAAAACAAATTTAATGACGTGGAATAAGTGATAGCTGTATTTTATATTCCATTATAAACATTTTTTTTCAAGGGACCGCGATGTCAATTTTTTCTTATAGAAGTTTCTCACTAACCCGATTTTCTAGATTTCAGAGTTACAGAAGGGGTCTGTCTCACATATGGTCTATAAAAATACGGCAAATATGACGTAATTAGAAATAAAATACGTGTATGTATGATAGTATGGGTATTACATAGTTATTGAAAGAATATGTGAACATTTACTTGAAAAATTTAACTTTTTTGTTTTTTAAAGGAAATAAAAAAAAATATAAAGTTCGAACACCAGCCGTGTTTTTTAAATTTTTTATACTGGCTTGACAAAAAAAAAATAGTATTGTATAGTAAATAGTTAGTTAGTACACGACCTCCGACGGAGTGAGGGCCACCTCCAAATTCTTCCATTTGTCTCTCATCTTCGCTACTATTTTCCAATCTTTTCCTACTTCCCCCGGTGGCTGTCCTCTCTTTCTTTTTCTTTTTTAATTTACTAAAATAATAATTAAGGTGCCGTTGCAGGATGTGATTCGTTAAAACTTTAATTATATGTATCTATTTAAAACCCAACGACATTTTTTTATAGTAATGGTACACTTAGCCTTATATTTGCGACATTCTTGCGGTGTTCAAATATTGTATTTTTACTTCTTTGAGCTGTAATTTAAAGTAGTTATAATTATACAATTTAAAAGAGTGACGGAGACTTTCTTGATAGTTCTTCTGTGGTGCTTTAAATGTAAATATACAACCATTAATATTTTACTGACTTTTATAAGTACATTGTTTTAATATAAATAAATAATGTTTTAAATGTAAAATATAATATCGTAATGAGAATTGGTTAATTATTTTGCTATTACGCACGAGTAACGATGTTTTTAACTCGTTATCAGTGGAGCGAGAAAGTCGAAAATTTTAAATTCGTGACAATTTCAATGTAGATAAGCGTATGTTCATTGAAATGTATTTTTAAATTGTCTGCATAACAATTATTATTTAACGTTTTTAGTATTGTTAATGTCAGAAGTGTGTGTATAACACTCTTATGAATTTTCATAAAGTCATTAATTTTGACCCGTTTAAAAAGCCGTAAGTATCCAAAGGCACTTTGTGGCAAAGAGAGTCGCAATTATTTGCGAATAAAATTCACGCTAATCACGTGTACATAGTGTACATTTAAATTTAATTACAGATAGCAGGTTATACTTTTTATTGACTTTACATACTACCATTACAATTGTCTCCTATTTATACATTTAAAACATTTAAGAACAATACGTAAGTATGTTTTAGAAATCCATTTATTGAATAACGTCTATCTTTGAAGAACAATAGAGTAGTTATCGTTAACCATTTAAATCGACGTATCGGTTTTAATGTGAATACGATAACAAGATATGTTAGCAAAACAAGCAATGTACATTTTTTTATTTTTAAAATAATATTGCATTAATTTATTTTGCTAGTCAGTGAAACACCTCAAATTAGAGACACAGCAACAAAATCGTTGTGCAAAGACAAGATAATTCAATTTTTTTGGTCCTAAAGAAACTAACAGAGAAAGAGCAGCTTTGGCTTAGTGGCTTCAGCGTGAGAATCCTTGAGGTCGTAGGTCCAACCCCCAGCCTAATGGACTTACTTTCTATGTGCGCATTTAACATTCTCTCGAATTTCCTTACCTCACCGCCTTAGACCCAAAAAGTTGACGGCGTGTGTCAGGCACAGGAGGCTGATCACCTACATGCCTATTAGATTGAAAAATGATCATGAAACAGATACAGACATCTGAGGCCCAGACCTAAAAAGGCTGTAGCGCCATTGATTTATTTTTTAAATCAATAAACGAAACATCTAAAAATAAATATTTCAGTTACCAATTAATCGAAAGTAATGCAATCGAGATATTTGGTTTGATGCTAAAGGAATTTTTCAAATAAATATACGAAACATCTATAAATATTTATTCCAGTTAAACGCAGACGTGAACGCGTTCCAACGCAAGTTCGTTAATGAAGTGCGACGCTGCGATGAGATGGAGAGGAAACTGCGCTATATCGAGGCGGAAGTGCACAAGGACAAAGTTCACATCCCATCTGTCAAAGACCTGCCACGAGCCCCCAACCCGAGAGAGATTATCGACCTTGAGGTATGTTGAAATCTACGGGTTAATAATAATTTATTTATTTAAATATTACACAAAAACAGTGTCTTGTATGTACTGTAGTGTACACTTTCTTATGTTAAATATACTTTTTAATCAATTAGGTTAGATTTAAATTACTTATTAGTCTAGGCTAGTTGTTACATTGTGTCGTTGTGCAAAACAATTTTTAAAAAAGTTATTATTGTGTTAGTTGCAATATTATCCTAAATATTATATTAGCTTTGAAGTATATTCAATCATAAAATTAAAAATTAGCAACGAAACCAAACACACACAGCTTTTACCATGCAGTCTATTGCAATGTTAGGGCAATCTAGCCTTCCCGCTATTACCGTCAGCATGCTGTTAGGGCTCCCCCGCACGCGCTTTACCAGAGGTACATCTCGCTTGCGCGACGTTGCGTAAAACATTTCAGTCTTAGTACAGTTTAGTTTAATTTCAAACGATTAAGAGTACGAGTAACATGACGCATCATCACGTGTCACCGAGTTTTGGAAGTTGCTGTTAATTGCACAAGCGAATGGAGCCCACAATGATGTCCCATTCTACGTTGAAGTGAAAACTTCTTTAGAGGCGTTGTACACTTTTTTTGGAATGGGTAAAAAAATTTAAACTCGCGTCTGGACATGTGACCCGATCGAAAATTCGTAAGACGGATGGAGAGTACCTAGACAGCTGGCGCGGCGTATTTAATGTATAAATTGTCATGTTTGTGTACGATAGCGCAATAAATAAATATTGTATTCTACTTCATAAATTATAGTATGTACTTGTATACTGATAATTAAAGCAATTCGTGTAAAAATATTCCCTAACCATTCGAAAATATCAAAAATGCACAACGTTAATATTCAAGTTATCACTTTTGCCGGCACTCCGGTGGTGCAACCCGTCGTTTTTTTTATTTCACATTATTGACTTGATTTAATGATTAATAAATAAATAATTAGCTCGTGAGCGCAGAACTTTCAGGTACATTTTATAAAGTAACTATCAACGATCAGCCCAATACGGCATACACATTTAAAAGAAGTTTGAAAATGTTTGAATAATGAGGTCCATTTTATTTATCGAAACATTATATCTATCTATAGGTAGACAAGAATTTCAGTAATAAGCTACGCACGTGCTTACGGAATAATTGAATGGTTTAAATAAATAATCATTTAAATTATATAAAATTTCTAGGCGCATTTGGAGAAGACAGAGAACGAAATCCTAGAGCTGTCCCACAACGCTATCAACCTGAAACAGAACTACTTAGAACTGACGGAGTTGAAGCATGTCTTGGAGAAAACTGAGGCATTTTTCCTTGCCCAAGAAGAAAGTGGCATGGATTCATTGACTAAGTGAGTTGTACTACTCCTCTATTTAATTTATAATAATTTAATAATGTGATGATGGAGTGATATACTAATATAAGAATTTACTATATTGTAATTCTATGTAAAATTCTACCTTTGAAGACAAATTTGCTCGCCCTTATATTTGACATACCTAATATGCGAAGTTGAGATTGTACCACCAAAATATTTTCGTACCATATTCTTGCAAATATGTTTTTACTATTTTATAATTAACAATTTACAAGAATCAGTTAGATAATTGTTTTTCATGTTATTTGAAAAATGATACAAGCAAAATGTTTATTTTTTTGAGGTTCATAGTATGTTTAGAAATATAGGATTTCGTGGAGTACAATTCATACCTTATTTTCATTTTCTGGGTTACACGATTTGATGTATTTTTGATTTTCTAAATGCGGATTTTCTTTTAAACAGAGAGTTCTATAATTTGAGGTTTATAATATATTTTTATATTACCAGATCGCTGATGTCTGACGAGACAGGTCAGCAGGCTGCCAATCGTGGACGCCTTGGCTTCGTAGCAGGTGTCGTACAGCGTGAGCGCGTTCCAGCCTTCGAGAGAATGCTCTGGCGTATTTCTCGCGGAAACGTGTTCTTGCGTCGTGCTGAGCTGGACAAGCCACTTGAGGATCCTACTTCTGTAAGCACTGCCTAATTGAGACTCTTTATTCGATATGAAAGTCGAGCAGAATATGGATAAATTTCAAATAACCAATGTTAAATTTTTTTTATCCAAAAGCCCAAGTTACAAACCCATATACGGCCTACGCAGTAGGAACTCCCCCGTATATAAGGGTCTGTTTTTTTTTAAATTTTGTGTACGTTTTTTCTACTCATTTTTACTTGCCAGATCGAAATTTGCGTCGTTCTATAATTATGATAAAAATGCGTTTTAGAAATGTTCTGTACCAAAATAACGAACAGTTTTAGTATCATACATTTTTAGGTAATTCCTAATAATTGAACCTTTATTTGGCTTAATGGTCTTAGTGCATTGAAAAAAAACGTTTTTATTATTAAATAAAATTGCTTAAACGTGTGATCAATTCATTTTCTATTCCAAGGGTAACGAAATCTATAAGACCGTGTTTGTGGCCTTCTTCCAAGGAGAACAACTGAAGTCCCGCATCAAGAAAGTGTGCACGGGTTTCCATGCTTCACTATACCCCTGCCCACCATCTAACTCCGAGAGACAGGATATGGTCAAGGGTGTTAGGACACGACTTGAAGATCTTAACATGGTAGGTAACATTTGTAAACTTATGACAAAAACGAGAAAGAAAAGTCAATTAACTGATGGTGCTGAGATACTAGACTGTTGTTTTGAAGACTCAAATCTTCTTCATCCTAGATAAGTTACAAGAAATTTAATTTTGATAATTCGCTAGAATTGAAATACAGTGTTAGTAAACACTCTTTATAACGTTGTTCGTTATAACGAAAAACTACAGCCACGCAGCAGCCACTCTCTATTACGAAGAAATATATCATATTTCGGCATCAACAACATACTTAAGTGTAATTGTTATTATAATCAGCTTACAAAACTAACCTATTGAGGTGCCGAAATTTCAAAGAATGACATCTGATTTCATAAGCAGCCTTCTCGCCTTTGTTATTGTTAATTGCATTAACACGTGTGCCATTATTCTTAGATTACATGGCGTGTAGGAAATTTTGGTCTTAGTTACCAAACGCACCATTGTCACCTATCTATTATATATTACAATATATATATATATTGTAATTGGTTAAATTTCGTGTTTTTTCTCTGGCCTCCATATAACGAAAACTCTCTATAACGAATAAAAATGCGTTTATTTACACTGTATTTGATTTAAATCTTGTCGTTTCTCGAAATGTAAAACCACCTACTCATATAGATGAAATGCTCAATTATATCTTACATTAATAACTTTAAGGTTCTCAACCAAACCCGCGACCACAGACAGCGCGTTCTCGTGAGCGTTGCAAAGGAATTGCAGAGCTGGTCCATCATGGTCCGCAAGATGAAGGCGATCTATCATACTTTGAACCTGTTTAACATGGACGTTACCCAGAAGTGTCTGATCGGAGAGTGCTGGGTGCCCACTTCTGATTTGCCCAACGTACAAAAGGCTTTAGCTGATGGTTCGGTAAGTTTCATTCTTTATTATTTTTTTATAGAATAGGCAAACGGGCAGCCTGATCTTATAACGCCTGCCAGGGTCACTTACATTGCTAGAAGGTTGTGCTTGGCCCTTTAACAATTATGCCACTTTCTTGAAGAACTTTAAGTGGGATTGGTTCTGTTGTAGATACCTACATGCATGGCGCAATCGTTCTTACATTGCATTTTTATCTAGGTTAAGTCAATGCCCTGTAAACATTTTTTTTATATAATTGGGGGGCAAACGAGCTTGCGGGACGACCAAAAAGGGCAGTCTTCGCAGCCCATAGACACCCATTTTTAGTGGGTGCGTTGCCGGCCATTAATTACATTTCTCCTGCACATATTTGTTATGAACTATCCCGGCGTTCGATACCCACACTATATTAGCCATTATTTTACGCTTCTGGGCTTCTGTTGCTGAATTTATATTTGCCGATAAATCGGACGTATAAAATTTGTCTACGACTGATTTAAGTTCACACGATACATATACTAACCTTCTAATAATGTTTACTGTTTATAGAACGCGTGTGGCAGCTCAATCCCATCTTTCCTGAACTGCATTGAAACAGACGAAATTCCCCCAACCTTTAATAGGACCAACCGTTTCACCCGTGGTTTCCAGACCCTCATTGATGCTTACGGAGTTGCCTCATACAGGGAATGTAACCCAGGTAACTTTTGTGCATCATTACAGTCCTGACTCTTAATTTGAATTCGACAAAGACGTTATTTATATATCAAATTTAGTTTTTCTTTTTCTAAGGCGTTATTTTTTATCATCCTGCAGCTGATTTTATCAATCTCTTTCACATGAATACGGAAAAATGTCACTAAAAAAAATTATCGACAAATAGTTACTAGAATATAAATATTTACCTATTTAGCGTTTGATTAAAAAAGATTGATAACTTGTTCCTTTTTTCGCTTTTTCTCTTCTAAAAACTTACACGCGTGTGCGAAGGAGGGATTAACGTTGTGTCTGTTTCAGCACTCTACACAATCATAACTTTCCCATTCTTGTTCGCGGTGATGTTCGGAGATTTGGGTCATGGGAGTATCATGGCCTTGTTTGGGCTCTGGATGGTAGTCAAGGAGGTGTCCCTAGCTGAAAAGAAGTCCAACAACGAAATCTGGAACATTTTCTTCGCTGGTCGCTACATTATTCTACTCATGGGTCTGTTCTCCATGTACACTGGACTGATCTATAACGATATCTTCTCAAAGTCGATGAATATCTTCGGATCGACATGGTACATACCATATGACAATGACACATTAGAACATAACGCTGCACTTACTTTGGACCCGAAACATTCTTACGTTAACGCCCCTTACTTCATGGGTATTGATCCTATTTGGCAGGTAAATATTAAAATTATTTTTAAACCTAAATAGCTAATAAATATCAAAACTTTTTGATATCCAGATAAAGAATCCGCCGTCGGAATCATATGTAGCGTTTTATCTAGTTAAAACCTTTAAACCAGGTTAAATAAAAAGGTGACCAAAATAATCAATATTTAAATGTCAAAACTTTTGCATTGTCTATGGAGCTACATTTTGTACAATCACTAAAAAATAACTTTTAAATATAGTCGGATTAGGTTTCTCACAAGTTTTTGATTTCAGTCTGCTGACAACAAGATCATTTTCCTCAACTCATACAAGATGAAGCTGTCAATCATTTTCGGTGTCGTCCACATGATCTTCGGTGTCTGCATGAGTGTTGTCAACTACAAGTAAGTTTTTAACTTGTTCTTTATTATTATAAAATTGATTAATAATTGTGTTTAAATTTTACAAGCCTTTTAGGTCCTACCTTACTTTAAACCTCTTTGAGGTGCTATATTATGTAAGTTGCTGAACTATAAATTTTGGTCCTTCGAGCAGTTTTTAACTCTCGTAATATAAACTTGTTCTTTATTATTATAAAATTGATTAATAATTACTAGGACTGCTGTGATTATTTAACATTTTACAAGCCTTTTAGGTCCTACCTTACCGTTTAAAACATCTTTGAATAGAATAGCTAGTGCTATATGTAAGTTGCTGAACTATTAATTTTGGTCCTTCAAGCAGGATTCGAAAGATTTATTGATGTATGGCATTCCATTGCATTCATTTATCATAGTAAATGTCGGTGACGCCAAAAAAATAATTTCAGCTTCTTCAAGCGTCGTTACTCAATCATCCTGGAGTTTTTGCCCCAAGTCATTTTCCTGTGTCTGCTCTTCTTATACATGGTGTTCATGATGTTCTTCAAGTGGCTTGCATACAGTACTTTCTCAACAGGTATGACTAGATAAGTTCTGTGTTCTGTTCTTATTATATCATATTTTGTTAATATTCACATTCGATAGAACACTCTTATCTGTTTTAATAATTCGTTTAGTTTCAATTGTTTAATGGGAAAATTATCGCAGATGAGGCGTACAAGCAAGGCTGCGCACCATCAGTACTTATCCTCTTCATCAACATGATGCTGTTCTCAAGCAACGAACCTGAAAAAGGGTGCAAAGAGTTTATGTTCGACGGTCAGGGTTTGGTCCAAAGAGTATTTGTCCTGGTCTCCTTGGCCTGTATCCCGGTCATGTTATTGGGCAAACCACTGTACCTGCTCGCTACTAAGAAGAAGAAGGATGAAAAGGTAAATAAAATTTTCATTCAAAATTTTTATATATACATTGTTACCATCACTTTTCAATGTGAAAGGTTGGCAAAGAATAAACTTTTAGGCCGTATTCAGACTTAAATCTAGACTTACGTTACTAGGCTATTTAGTTTAGTTACTAACAGTTCGCTTTGCGAGCTTGTCTAGATTAGCGAGTCTTTTCATCACGTTAACATACTTTGAAAGAAAGAGACGAAAGAATAATCGGGCTTTAATATACAAATATTGTTATAGCCAGAACAATCGAATGGCAACTTAAACCATGGCATTGAAATGCAAGAACAGACGGACATATCCGAGGCGGCCCCGCCGAAAAAAGCAGAATCACACGACCACGAGGAAGAGGAGTTCAGTGAAATCATGATTCATCAAGCCATTCACACCATTGAATACGTCCTCAGTACCATCTCTCACACAGCCTCCTATTTGCGGCTGTGGGCTTTATCATTGGCTCACGCAGGTAAAGAAATGCTTCCTATTAGTCGTGTTAAAAATCCAACTTTATATCTTATAAAAAATACTGGTATTGAGAGTTAAGTTCGTTGGCGGTTGTTGTGTTCAAATATAAGGTAAATGAAACTCATTGTTTGAAGCAGGGTGTCAAATCTTTAATCATTTAAAACTTGAGCTTATAACTATCATAAAATTTAGTTTGGGTTATTACCCCTGAACTAAGGCTCTACAAAAACTCAATCCATCCATCCAATATCTGTCGCACGAACGCAACGCAAGAATTTCCGATATGCTTCGCATCAATTCCGATAAGACGACCTTTTATTTAACAAACAAAAAATTCAATAAAAAATACTTTAAATTAAAATAAAAAAAAAATATACTAAATTAATATATCATTAAAATAATAAAAATATTATTAAAAAAATAAAAAAAATAAAAAAAAAAAAATATTTGTGGGTTCTTAAATCTAAGTGATATTTATGTTACCCATAAAGAATATAAGTAGAGTCGACCTATTGCCTATTAGACTTTAGGAAGCGATTTATATTACCATTTCAGTGTGGGAAAATCTAAAGGGCTCATTTTGGCTTCAAGTGTGCGATAATTGCTAACATTTGGTTTGCACTTCTAATTATTAACTAAAATATGTAACTTAACCAATTTAGGTTACCTAAATAACTTGAGTCATAAGTTATTCTCAGACATAGTAAACTTAGAAAATGTTAACAAACAAATAGTTCCCTAGAACTATAATTTGTGTAACAAAAAAGTTATAATGTTTACAGAGCTGTCAGAAGTATTATGGAGCATGGTGTTAGCTATGGGGCTCAAAACGGACGGTTACGTCGGAGCTATTAAGCTGTACGTGGCGTTCTGTTTCTGGGCGCTCTTTACCCTGGCCATCCTGGTCATGATGGAAGGTCTTTCCGCTTTCTTGCATACACTGCGTTTGCACTGGTGAGTAACTTTAAGTAATTTTTTTATTGTTTAATACAACCGGTGGTACCAAAATACAAGACGTTTCTGTCTTTCTGGTCTGGCCATGCGTCATACTCGTGAACGGGTGCTATTTGTGGTGACTGATCGTACTTGAATTCGTGAATGCGGTGATGTTAGTTATTTCAACTATGTATTTGCGTGTTGTTCCCACGAGAATGTAAGTGCGTGCTCCTATTTCACCATGCCTCCTGCTGATGCATCAAATCTTTGTTTTTAATTTATTTTATTATTATTAATTACCTACTTAAGATGTCATGTGGAACATGGTGTAATGGTTGCAACTCCTTATAAAAGTTGTGTAAAACAAAAAACTTGGCGATTAAAAAGAGTGGCGGAGAGTTTATTGCCAGTTCTTCTCTTCCGTTCTACGCCCTTGATTTCAGAACTGGCAGTAAATGTAAAATTAGAAGCATTTCATATCTATTTTTTTTGACGTTCATGAGTGTACATTGTGTTACCCATATGAATAAATGATTTAGAATTTGAATTTTCCGTTCAGCGTTCAGCAGTCTCTTCCGGGACTGAAACGCGGGCTTGGGTTATTCTTGAGTTACTTGAGGCAATAAAAATAATAAATTGACGTTACTTAAATTAGTTTGGTTAATGGACCTTGTCTAGAAATTCTGGGACGGGCGTGACTCGCCATTTGTATTAAATTTTTATTGGTTAAGTTGACGGTTGGTCACGAGACGATTTTCATACAATTTAGTGTATCACGCTTGACAAAACGCGTTTTGGCTAAGGCCCTATAATTAATATAGAATCTTATAAAACATTAACACTATTTTCCAGGGTGGAGTTCATGAGCAAGTTCTACTCAGGTCTGGGATACGTCTTCCAACCCTTCTGCTTCAAGACAATTCTCGAACAAGACGAGAAAGATGAATAAACTAGATTATAAATGACATTTATGTCACTGCAAGTAGTAAATAAAGTATTTAGTCTCTGTAATATGTAGTATTAATTAAACAACCAAACATCTATTTCTAACCCAAAAAAAGGTTGTCTGTAAAGTCGGTTTACGTATAATAGTTTAACGTGACAACGTCATAACAAAACATTGATGAAATGATTGCATACTAGAATTATCACTATTTTGTATGGATACAAAGAAGGAGTGACACCTCGGCCAATCCAGTGGAAGAGAGATAGATGCGGCGCAAGCGTACAATGAGCGTAACGGGACAATGAGTCATGCTTTGTCGTGCGTGCCGCCGGCGTTCATCGATTTATTAGATGTCACGTCAAAAAGATATCAACGAAACAGTTACCTTAACAAATCCCGGGAAAGAAATAATGAGGGAGGGGGTCGGGGGGAGGGGGGGGCCGGGGAAGCGGGGGGAGGGGGGAGGGGAAGGCGGGCGGGGGCGGGGCTGGGGGCCGGGGGCTCGGGCCCCGGCCTCCCCCATCGGGGAGCCGGGCGGGGCCCCGGGGCGGGCGGGGGTGGAAGGGATGGGGGGGGGGAGGCGATGCTGGTTGGGGGGGGTTTTTTGGCTTTTGGATACAAAAGGCGCCGAACGAGTTGGCTGGGCGAGCTCACGCGTGGCATAGGGTGAAAACCACGTTGGGGGAGAGATTTCCGAAAAAAATCGGGGAGGGAAGGGTGTTAATGAAAAAAAAAAGCTTTTAACCTTTTTTTCTCCATGTCACATATATTTAATGACCGCCTCAACGTTACCCAGACCCTGTTCTAGAGATAACTGTAGCCGAATTTAAAGTCAATTTGATAAGGAACTTTGAAACATTTATCTCTATGTTAAAGTGGAATGATAAAGTAAAACAAAAGTCGAAACGATAGCGCGTCCGTTTGTCCAATCACAAACAAATAGTATATTTCATTACAAGTGCGGAAAGCCTGTCATTGCAAAGAGTTTCGACAAATGTCTACCCGAGCCGAGGGCGCAGCCGAAGGTGAGGGTTGACAGTCGACCTCAATGACGGTTCCGCACGTGTACTGAACAACTATTTTTAATACAGTTGCGAAAAAATTATGCAATTTAATAAAATAATAAAAACACAATAAACTCAACTAACTAATCATTTATTTCTTATACAAATTATTGTTCACATATAAATTGGTACATTTTTTAATACTAACTGGAGAAGTTTTAGGTTGCATATTTATTTACTGTTTGAGACAAACTATTATTAATTTCGTATTTCGATTGTTCATGTATATTTAATATATAATATAACAAACAACTAAACGCGGAAAGAACATTTATGGAAAATGGCGCCAACCGTAAAAGAATATAAGCAGATATATTTTTTTTTCTTCACCCATTCTGGGTAGGCAAAGGGAACTATGCCCATATACTCCAGTCAAATTACGAAATAAATAAACATGAGCGAACACAGTTTGGGGATTTTGAGGATCGATAGGGGGGTGTATTTGAGCATAAATTCCAATTTGAGGGGTGTACTGAGGTCAGCTCAAGGTCTTCGATGGAATCGCGTTTAACTCGATATCTCGAGAATGGTTAGTGTTAAGCGAAAAATTGTAGAGACCTTTTCTTTTTCAAACAAAATTTACTAACTTTTTTATCTGAAACTTTTTTTTATAACATTAATATTTTTCAAGTTATTACCCCCGCAAGGCAAAAATTTTACTTTTTTTTCCATTTTTCGTCGTTTTCTCCCCAACCATTCAATTTTATTAAATTTTACCGATCATCGAAGTGTAGAACTTTTAATTATGAAAAATTTTGTTCTCAAACTTTTTTCCGTAATGCCAATACCTTCGGAGTTATAGATTACTTTACCGAGCGAAATCCGCACCATTGTCGCAACGTGTATCCACAGATAAGTTTTTAGGCAACGAGAGCAATAAGACCAGATTCATCTCACTACTGAAAACGGTTCTCATCAAATCAGACATAGAGGTGGAGCAAGCCGTAGAGGATGCGGATGGTCTAATTATCAGTAGGCTAAGAGAATTTGAGGAGTATAGTGCTGTGGTTGTTATTGGTGAGGATGTGGATTTGCTGGTTTTCCTGACTGCAACAGCCGGCGCGTGCAACAACATTTACTTGAGAAAACCTGGCCGAGGCAAATCGACGGACGGTACACATAGCCCATAATGCCTCAAACCGATATATGGGCCGAATGCCGCAAAAACCTTTTATTTTTGCACGCGATTAGTGGTTGCGACACAACGTCGGCACCATTCAACCTAGGCAAGATGAAAACAATGACCGCGTTGAAAAAATCTCCGGATTTGCTTTTGTTAAATGAATTTTTCTGCAAGACAAAGCAGATAAAACAACTATGCTTCATACGGCGAACAATCATTTTGAATTTGTATGCAAGGCAGATGACAGAATTGTACCAATCTCAACGAGCTCCGATATAAGGGATATAAAAAAATGGCAGGCATTGGGAGGTTTAAATTAGAATCCCTTCCTCCTACCTCTGATGCGGCATTTTTCCACTCGTTGAGGTGTTTCTACCAAGTTCAATACTGGCTGGAAAATTATCTGAAACGAGGAATGGGGCTGGCTGACCCCCGTTGATTGAGCCGATAGCGATGTCATTGAAACCAGCTCCGGATAATTTACGGAGATCGATTGCGCGCAAATGCAAAACCAAATGCGGCAAAGCGTGCGGATGCAGAAAGGTCGGCCTCTTTTGGCACAATGTGTGAAACAGTTTTAATTGTTAATTTACTTCTTACCCAAATTAACCCAAATTAAATACCTAATTTTAAATAGTTTAATCAATTTACCTTTTTATATTGCGACAGTGGCGCGGATTTCGCTCGGTAAAGTAATCTATAACTCCGAAGGTATTGGCATTACGGAAAAAAGTTTGAGAACAAAATTGTTCATAATTAAAAGTTCTACACTTCGATGATCGGTAAAATTTAATAAAATTGAATGGTTGGGGAGAAAACGACGAAAAATGGAAAAAAAAGTAAAATTTTTGCCTTGCGGGAGTAATAACTTGAAAAATATTAATGTTATAAAAAATTTCAATAAAAAAATTAGTAAATTTTGTTTGGAAAAGAAAAGGTCTCTACAATTTTTCGCCTAACACTAACCATTCTCGAGATATCGAGTTAAACGCGTTTCCATTGAAATGACCTTGAGCTGACCTCAGTACAACCCCTCAAATTGGAATTTATGCTCAGAATACACCCCCCTATCGATCCTCAAAATCCCCAAACTGTGTTCGCTCATGTTTATTTAACCCGTTTTTAGCCATAATTTGACTGGACTAATACAGCCAAGTCTTCAGTACAATTTTTTATTGATATGAAATGAAATTTAATGAGATGAAATGAAATCTAACCTAACTCATTGAATCAAATCATTAAATCTGATATTGAAACAAAGCAGTGTAGCTTCTTTTTAGAAATATTTGCATGAATCATAAAAATTTCTATGAATTTTTTTAGTAGTAAAAACTTCGTGGTTGGTTTTTCTTTTTAATAGACATTATTTTGAAGTTGGGAAAGAAAACGCACTAGTTCGGAAAAGGTAAAAAAAAGCACGAGTGTGTAATAGCCCACATCCCGAACGCTATACGTCCCTGCAATACGCCACTTTTTGAGCAACTGTATTAAAAAGATTGTTTAAGGCTCTCAGAATTGATAAATAAAAAGAAATTCGATTTTTAAAATTTTATTGAATACATCTTTGCTTATAGGGAAAATTTTATCTTATGACAAACCATATTAATATAAAACATATTTTGAATTACATTTTCTATACTCTATACACATGAATAAAATATAAATGCTCTTTAAATTATGAATAAAACAAATTTTAAAAGGTCCTGCTATGTTTGTGAGATATCTCCATTAAGTTGAGAACATTCAGACATTAAGTTCTCAAATTAGATTTCGCTTTCTCCAAAATGTCTTTTTTTATTTTCGGATAATCGGGATGCACTTTCAATATATGTCTACACACAACAATACATTCGGGATATTTTTTTAATTTAAGGTGCGCATACGAAAGTTTATAACCAATTGAGAGATCGCTTTTGCCTGAATGGATCCAGGCTTGTTCGTAATTGTGTGCCGCGCTCTTGTAGTTTTGATCCTTTTCCGATAAAAAACCTGAGAGGAAATTATATAGATACATTCTTAATATAAAACTTCTTATTAGGAACTTAGTAAGATACAGAGTCAAGACTTAGAGTTCCAGTAGTACGTGAACTATTGGGGGGTGGGGAGGTCTTTGATTTTATTATTTGGTGATTACGTCAACAGTAATTATTTATTCTTTTACACATATTACCCACACATTGTCTATGCTTGAAAACGAAATACATTTTCGAGGATTCCTATAAAAATTTATAATACGTTTATGTACTATTATTTTTGATAGCGTTCTTTTGTTGACAAGAAGAGGGGGGGAGGATGAATTGCAGTAAATTTTTATTGAAACAGCGGGCAAGGAGGCTCACCTGATGTTAAGTAATAAACCGCCGCCCTTAGACACTCACAATGCCAGAAGGCCTGCGAGTGCGTTTCCATTTAAGTATTGATACGCTCCTTTCTTGAAGGACCCTAAGTCAAAGATTCGGAAATACTTCAGGGGGCGAGTCAAAATTTTCCTATACTTTAGAGTTTAGGTAGTAAGTAAAGCCTAGTAAGATTCTTACCTAGGTATTGATAAGCAGCGATGCAAGACTTATTGTGTGTAAGGACTTTCGCAAGGAGCTCCTTTGCGGCCTCAATTCTTCCCGAATTAATCTGGATATCGGCCACTTCTAGCCAGCATCTTTACAAAAAATACACGAAAATATAACTTTAATTTTACACACAATTATTGATTATATGTAAACAAAATACAAACTAGAAAGGAAAAAACACAGATGAACATCAGAAATTTATATTGAAATTCATTGGGATTCCTTTATTTATAAATATACTATACATTA